TACATAATATAGTTTAATGAATCATTACATTTATAATAACAAAGGCCACAGTTTAATTAATAATATATAATGCAAAAAAAGAGAAATGTTTGCCTTATCTATATTCCCTTTATTTCCTTTACCTTTTGTTTTTCCTTGGGCCTAAACAGAGAAAATAATGCTTAGTTATCTGAAGAAAAGGTCAGATCTATTAGAAATGACATTCTGATTCTAGAGCCTACTCTTCAAAAGGTACCCTGCCCTGATGTTTGGTGTAAATAAAGCCTTTTTGAAACCCATAGAAGATGTGCACTGCTGTTTACAAATTAATTTTTTGGTTGATTCCTCATTATGCTATTTGTTACCTCCCCCCCCAAAAAATCTCCAAACCCTTGCTACCAATTCATCTTTGATAAGTATATATTGTTAAACAGAAATAAATCCATTGCAACTCCTTTATGAGTTATCCAACATATTAGAAAGGCCAAACAGAATTAGTCACTATTCTTGATGAATGGGCTAAGTGTTTTTAATCATAAAAATCATGACAGTTACTCAGACCAAGGCATTTAAACCAAGCCAACAGCACCTTCAGATGGGAACACCATGCGTAACTCTTTTGGAAAGTTAGGGTCTTCTAAATACAAGATATTTCCATGGATCAAAGATGATCAAGCTTTCTGTGTATTAGAACACAAAGTACCCAAGAGGAACAAGCCAGGAGAACAAACTAATTCCTTTAAATGAAAAAATGCAAATGTCCTTCACCAGTAAAACAAGCAGATTTTTAAATCCCCATTTTTCAAATCTACTTGTTCAAAGAGTCTTCAAAGGCAACTGAGAGGGGGGACAGATTTTTCATTGTAATAGTGGAAGTTGTCTCATAGTTAGGATCTATCAACATGCATTTTTAATCCTTTTCTTAGATTAAAGAGATGGCTTTTGGCAGTGTATTTTAACCAGAGGGAAATGATTTGCACTACTCTCAGCATCTACTTTCCTGTCAGCTTTAATCCACCTGAGAAAAAAGAAAAAAATGGATAATTCAAATGCATATAATTCATAAACATTGCAAAAGAGAGCCACTTTGTTTCTGCAGTCCTAATATTAACAGTCTGCCACAGAATGCAGTGCAAGTATTGATTGGCATATGGTAATAAAGAAGCCACAGGCTTAATTTAGAGACCTGTGATGTATAGGGCATTTTAACCTAATAAAATTTAATTTTCTGGGTAACTCTTAAAAGAGAAGTCACTTAAATTATCTTGCTATTCCATACACTTTTGTAATCCAAAATATATTTCCAAATTAAGTCAAATAATTTATGCGTGTTTGTATGTATCCAAAATAAGTCAAATAATTTGTGCGTGTTTGTGTGTATATATACACATACTTTTTTTTAATTAAATTTTTGAGGCTCTACAGCCACTGTGCCTATGGTCTGAAGCCATGTCTATATTATATTTGATTTAACATAGGTGTGTGTGTGTGTGCACACAAATACACGTATATGTAGCAGGTATTTGTATAAAATATATACACTTTGTTGTCTTATTGGTTATATGTGAAATTGTTCATTTTGAAATAACCTCGGGCCACAACTCATAGTAACTATTTGAAGGCCTTACTTAGGGTCCCCTTGGTGACTCATGCAGTAGCTCAAATTAAACCATTGTGCATTGGGTTATGAATAATCTTTTGTTCCAAAGAAGGCAAAAGCCTCAGTCTGATTTAACACCAAAGAATAAATTTCTCTGACTTTCTAAGTAAATCTAAATGCATTCTATTGACAAAATGGACACACGGGGGATTTTCTAAATACCATACATAATTACACATTTTCACACTTAGAGGGTAATCCTATGATACAATTTCGATCTCTACTTTTAAAAGACTATCACCAGAAAAGAGAGAAAAGAAAACTCGTAAGAAAAAGAAAATGTGAAAATGATCATAGGCTTGGGAATTCCCTCAAATCCAGAAAATTCCAGGTTAAGGCTTGAAGTTGAATCATTCCCAGGACTAGCTCTAAAGTTAACAAAAGTACAAGGCAAACAATTTCTTTGGGGACAAGCAGCATTATTTCAATCAGACCTTCTCCTGCAGGGTAAAATCATCCTCCCCACACTATGAATGGACTCCAAGTATCATAATAAGCAGGTGAACTCACAAGAACCAAAGCTGACATATGGATAAAAGCAGCAAGATCACAGTACACCAAAGTATCATATATACTGGAGAAATAATTCAGTGTCTTAGATTTTTTATAAAAATTTGTGATCTATATAGGACTTCATTCACATGGACACTAACGATAAGGAGGAGTATTTGCTTTGGCGGTAGTGAATAACACATCTGCTTATCTTGCTTTTAATTTTTTTTTTTTTTTTTTTTTACATAATGTTTCTGAGTATACAGATGTGAGTCAGGTAGCATTTGAATTCCCCACATATACACAATCGAGGTGCCCTGCAACCGGCATCCCCTGGGATCCTTGAGTCACTGACGTTAGCCATCCGAATCCAGTGTCCAAACTCAGAATAATAAGCTTAGTTTCTGCGTTATCAGTCAGCGTAAATAATAAATCCAGAAAACGTGCTGTATTTGTTGTTATTCCCTCCGTGGGCTTTCCCGCCATCTAATTTGATGTACACTTCGTCTCCTGGCTCCAAATGAAGAACAACGCTGTTGCTGGCGTAGTCGTAATTCTGATCAGCGTCTTGGGCGATGGCGCTGGCTCGCACCTGTGTGAAACAAACAAGAATTAGGACCTGTAGGAGACAACTCCCGGGTTGTCCTTGCTGCCATGCACACAGCATCAGAAGCCGACCTGTGCCGTGGCACAGAATTCGGCATGGGCGTTGGAGCTCCAGGAGGATATCTTTCTAAGAGTCTCAACCGCGTTGCTGGAAAGGAGGAGCAGAAAGATTACAAGGTGCTATGGCGAGGGTCGGTCCAGCAGCCTTCTCCTACTGTGTGCTGTAAACAGCGCGCACCACGCTATCCCCTTCCTAAATCAGCACATTTTCTCATTCCTTGACTCTCTAGGCCTGATCACTTCTTGAAATGGAAATAAGGGTAATTTTTGTGCATTTCAATTTAAGCCAATTAGCAATATTCTAAGCAGCTGTTTACGAGGACAGAGGTTCAATCCGAACTTCAGCTGGTCCCCACGCTTATTAGAAAATGGAGATCCTTGGCAGTTGAGACTCAGAGAAATAACACGACTCCAACTCTACTATATAGGGAGAAAAAGAAAAAGAAGAAAGCCTTTTGATTTGGGGCTTTCAAAATCTAATACAGGTAAAGCTTTTTTTTTTTTTTTGCCAGAAACCCCCGTTTAAAATGTCACCTAAGTTTGCAGGGTTCATTTTGTTATTTGTGTCTTTTTATTACTTACCTGTGATGTGTACACTTAAATAAATTATTTAATTTTGACATATCTAAAAGTTATAGTAGGAACTAAGCTTTGAGGCCTCTAAAATTTCTAAAATTTTTTAATGATGTGATTGAATACCCTTTTCCATTTAGGTGATTCTGAAAATGTGTGGTTTGCTTTGAGGATGGAAGTTGCCTATAATCCACTTGTGTTGAGCCTGTGATCTCATTAGTGGGTTGATAGACATTTGCAAACAGTCAATTTACCTATCATTTCAAGTAATATGGACATTCTGTCACATCCTCAACTCAAATTAGGCTTCAGATTCATTTAGCTATATTTTGATTCTGCCTTGGAAAAAAAATTTCAGTAGGCACACTTGTATTTGATTTATTTCAGTAAAACATCTTCTACTCTGTGGCTTGTTCCTATTCCACTATATCGGTATTTCCCCAAATAACATAGCAAGTGATTTAGTGATTTTGTAAACCTGCATTATGTAATAATGCATGGCTTGGGGTACAATATGCTGGATTTTATCACTTGGCAAAATGAGGGAAATGAGACATAAGTCAAGAATTTCCATGCATTTCTTTCAAAACTTAAATGATAGGTTTTCAAATTAAATTTTCATGTGGTATGCTCTCACATTAATGCTGAAATGTTAAAAAAGGAGAAGGCTCTTTGACACTGCTGAACTTGTAAAGTAATTTGAGTAGTATTGTAAAATTTTCTTTCTGGATATCGTATAGCAAAAGGAGAAAGGGGCTTAAAGGATTTAGAATTGCTTAACACTGTGCTGACATTAATACAGTGAATGCAATGTACCATGCAATTAGGCTCCAAAACCCTGACTCAAATGTATACACCAGTTCAATGAGGTGATCTGTTTGGACCGTTAAGTAATAATACAATTTAATGATATAATATTTCCTAGAAATTAATCATAAGTTTGTAGGAGTTGAGTGCTTTGATTCATTAATTTCATCTAGTCATTAATTCCCTGGGAAAAAAAATCTACAAGGAGGATAGCGTTGTTACGACCTCATCTTTTTTTTTTTTAAACACGTGGACTTTTAATGGGTGAGAAAAATTAGAATACAAATTAGTAATTAGCTATGTCAGTAATATATTAATTAGCAATGCATAAATATGCTTTTCAGCTATTATTAATAAGCAGACACATTTTATTTAGTGCTTTAGGTGTTTAATATATGCTCTATGGGTATTGTGCTGTAACACTGTTTTCTATATAAAGGCATTTGGGAACCAGTACTCATTAAAATCCCTTGATTTAGAGACAATAGTCTTAAATATATATATATAATGCAGTTTTTATTCTACAGGGTATAAGCAGAAAATCATGTAAATGTGACCATTTTTATTCTGTAGGTACGGCCACAAAAACCTGCAAATGCATTAGTGTGATCCCACAGACTAGAAGGCTACCCTTATGGTTTTTCACTTCCTTTGTTGTCTGATTGCTTTTTAATGAAAGTTACTCTCTTAAGATTTTAACCTATACTGTACTACGAGACTTTCCCAATTAAATAACTGCCATACTCCAGTGTACTTTGCATGATTTTAGCATGCCTGCTCACCTGATCCTACTCTAAAGGAATAATGGAACTTGAAATTTCAGGCTCTAGTAATCAGCTTGGTGACTTCCAACAATTCTCCCTTTAAGCCATCAAACTACTGAGGAAGGTAATGCATCCACCTTGGAGACTCTTTTCAGGTTCCTAAATGTACACCGATTTCAGCATTTTCTCTGGGACTATGATGCATCCTTTCCTTAGCCCGATATCCCCATTTCTGCCTAAGTGTACTCTACTATCTTTTCATATTATAAGTTAACTATTTAGATCCTGCTTGATCTGTAGTGCGTGTTTCATCGCTTTTAAAAAGATAATATTAATTTGACATTTCGTTAATCTTGCTAATGAATGAATATCAACCCACAAACTGTTGTTTCCAGCATATCTCATGTTCATTGATGCTACTATAATTAATTAATGCATTCTTAGAAAAAAACCGGGTCTTTAATCATTTTATAGTTCTAATCTCAAGCCACTTTTAGCTTTTATTATAGTGGCTTATTATAGTGGTATTACAGTGACTGTATTCACATAGCAATTTTTGAATTCAGGTTTTCTGCTAAAGGCATACGAGCACATTAAAATTATATTTCCTGTCTCTCTGTAAAGCCATCCGAGTCCAACTTTTACCTTTCATATGCACTGTTATGGGCTCTCAACAAATGGTATGATTAAATTTGTGTTGATGGTTTCATGGGGAATATGAGAACTGTGATCCTTTTAGTGGCATGTTTGTGAGAACATAGGAGCTCATGTGGCTTTAGCATTATCTTATTAAGGAGGGTTTATCATTAGAGACAATATTTATGGTAACATTTGCTAATTTAATTAATTGCTACTGATGCTCTCATAATTTCATTTTCATTGTACTTCTGTGGAATCATAAACAAAAGGTTAAGTGGTGCATCAGGTTAATTTACTGGCCTTTGATGTTTCCATCTGTGATCCTGCATTCAACACAAAGCATAAATAAAATGGTTCTCATATGGTTACGGTCCAGAGGCATTCCTCTATCCTAGAGTGAACTGCATTTTTAGTTTAATTTTTGTGCTTCTCAAATCCACTTAATTCATAGAACATTACACTGACATGGATCTCTGAGTTTCTGTTTTATGAAAAGAAATTACGTCTGCTCAGGGGGGGAAACTGCCATTCTAAGAAGTGATCAGATAAGAACATAACTGAAAATCACTGATAAACTATTTATTTAATATTAATAAAATAAACTTTATAAAATATTTCTCATTTGCAGCTGTCTACAGATCAGACTTTACAAAATAAGTCTATTCTAAGGATAAAATTCCTTCACAGTAATATTTTAATAACAATTTTCCAAAATAGTCCATGCTGAAGTTGAAAATATATTGTTTGCTGCTACATATATTTTTCTGAATTACTTGTTGCACACCTTTTGAAGAAGTAACAGCTCAATAATGCCAGTGGAGAGCTTTATACATGATAAGGTCAGCTGGTTTGCCTTATTTTTTTTCCTGATCCTCAGAGAATGTGCATGCTAGGATGATACAAAGGAGCATTCTACTCTCCAAACAATGAAATAATTTTAAAAACAAAATGCACCTAGAACATGTATATAAAATGGTTTTCTTGGAATCAGTTTGATATACCTGGGCTCAGCAGTTGAGATAGCAATCTTTAAACTAATTTATATGTTTCATTCCCTGATTTTTCATGCAATTGAAATTTCCAGATATTTAAAGATGTGTTTTTATTCAGTGGCTGATAAAACTTGAATATTATTCCATCTTAATGAATACCTCTAAAAACAATCCTTCAGCCTGACAGTATTTTCCAGACCTAACCTTTGAGTCAGAAGAGAGCCAATTTGTAAATAAATGGGTGGCCTCATAGCTGTCTGCTAAGGAGCTTTTCATAAACCGTTTTGGAAAGGTGATACCATAGCTCTATCTTGGTACAGTGAGTCATGCCCTTTTTAGCCATTCGCCTATAACTATCTCACTGCTCTGTAAATAATTTTTCTTTATCTTAATATTATTTTTGTGCATAATAACTATCATAAACAACCCTGTCAGTGCCTCCTGGTGGCCATTCCCCCCCCACTTTTTTTTTTTTTCCTTTGGTTCTACCTGTACTGTGGGGTTCTTGAGCTATTTACTTCTAAATTCCTTTAGAAATGAGGGGTGGGAGGAGGGGGGAGGGACAGGATTTTTTTTGTCCTTTCTTTCTTATACATTTAGAATATTTGTCTTTCACTTTTTGAAAAACAAAAACAAAAACAAAAAAACTGATACTGAATTGGGTCTTTGGAAGAAATCCTGCCTTAATGCTGCTTAATAGAAACCTGGGCTGTAACTGAGAAGGTCTGAATTCAAGGGGCGGGTGACCTGAGCCGAGTGGCCCTTGTTAAATCTAAGTTGGCCATTCCCTGTGCCACCCAATAGGCAAAATTAAAGCCAGAGAACTCAGCCCAGACTGCAGGCTGCGGGTCGCAAGGCCTCGCCCAGAGCGCCGCTGCTGATTCAGTGCGAGCCTCAGGTCCGATGACACTTTGCGGTAGTTACAAATATTATTTTCCTCTTCTAAGAGATCAGACACACTTTGGTCTTGCAGTGACCGTGAGAGTTCCTCAAGCAAACGGTAAAGTGGCCCCAGGATAAAACTGCAGACCCGTGGCCCTGGTGGCGGAGCTGACCAGCCCAGGAGAGCAAGTCCAAGGGGTCAGGGCTAATCTGAGGCTAGTGCACAGTCAAGGCCAAGACAACTGCCTTGTGAGAAGGCAGGGTTGGAAAGACCCTCACGCAGGCGGCCCAGGGGCCGACTCGGCCTCTCGCCCTCCTAGCCACCTGCCTGTGCGGCCTCCTACTCCAGCCAGTGGAGTCTGGGTTCTGTGTTTGGGTGCGTGTTTTGCTGAGTACACCCATGAGTCTCAACTTTCTCTTTTGTTATCAGCACTCATTACTTTTCCCCCTTCTTCTCCTTGGGCTGAAATCTAAACCGGGGTATGTGCCTTGAATTTGACGGTGTGCTTGTTTCCCGGGTCTGGGACGCCGCAGGGGCCTTGCGACCGCGAGTCCCCGGTCCCTCTTCGGCCCTGGACGCGCCACACTTGGACTCGCTCCTTCGGGTCCCTTCTTTCTCCCGCGGGCCCCTTTCTCCCCCGAGTTTGTCACCCTGGCACGCCCATTTCGGGGCTGCCCCAGCCCTCCTATTCCAGGCAAAGCCTGAGAGCGACCCCACGCCGCTGAGGATCCCACAGCCGGGGGTCGCCTCCTGCTCCGGACTCTCTGGTGCACAAGCTGTCCAGGGGACCGAGCTCCCGGCTTCCCTACCTTCGAGGGTCGCGCTCACACTCGCGCGCTCTGAGTGCAGGTCCTAGCTTGGGAACCGCCCTCTCCAGGCCTCCGGGCACCCGCTTTGGCTCAGGACCCCCGCCTCCCCAGGGAGTAACAGCCGCCCCCAGCTCCGCTCCCGGGAGCCTGGCTGCCTTGCCCTTCCTCCGCGGGCTCCCACCCCCGTTTCCGGGGTCTCCTCCCTCTTGCCTGCACCTTCGCGCGCTCCCTCCCCGCCCACCCCGCAGCCTGCCGGCACTCACCTGGTTGTTTTTGCAGAGATCAGCCCACATGCTGGTGCCGTCCCCTCCGCGCATCAGGACGTGGTAGGTGAAGAAGTAGATGCCCGGGATGGAGCAGGTGAACTTGCCCGTGGTGGGATCGTAGTGGTTACCGAGGTTGGTAACCACGTCGTCGAACTTGAGCACCTCGTAGCCTTCGTGCTGCCGCTTGAGGCCGGCGTAGAAGGCGATCTTGGGCACCGTGCTGTAAGTGGCGGCACTGATGGCCCCGGCCGCGTTCAGGCCGGGCGCCCCGGGCGGGCCCGGCAGGCCTTGGCGGCCGGGCTCGCCCTTCTCGCCCGGAGGGCCCACGGGACCCGGCGGCCCGGGCTCACCGGGGGGCCCACGCGGGCCCGCCTTCCCCGGCCTGCCGGCCTCGCCTTTGGGGCCCTGGATGAAGGTGGGCAGGGACTGCATGAGGCCGCGGTCGGGCGTGGCGGCGGTGCTGGGCGCCTTCGTGCCCCCATAGGGGTCGCAGACCATGCGGCAGGTGCCCAGCATCTCGTAGTGCGCCGACGTGCCGGCCGAGCTCACCAGCACCGGGATGAGGATGACCAGCAGCAGCACCATCACCACCCCCAGCGCCCCGGCGGCGATCAGGCGCCTCCTGCTGCCCACCAGCCGGCTCAGCGCGGGGCGATCCTCTTGTCTGCTTTTGGACAAAATTTTGAAGGTTGGGCGGGGACCTCCTCAGAGCCGAAAACAACCCCCTGCGAACCCCAACTCCCCTGGGCGGGCGCGCGCCGACCGCTCCCCGCCTGCTCCCGCTCCTGCTCCCCCTGCTGAAGCTGCGGCTGGGGAGGGAGCTCGGACGCCAAGTGACTTGAGCTGAAGTCCCGGGCTGGGGGTGGGGGCTGGGGGAGGGGTGCGCAGGGCGCCCTCTCGCCTCCCGCGAGCCCCTTCGCACCTGTGGCTGCCGCCGGCGCCGGCGCGGCCACCCGGAGGGCAGAGCCTACCGCCGCCTCTCGTGCTGGCCCGGGCAGCTCACACTTTTATGCAGCCGCTGCCTGCGATCGACTTTTCCGTTTTTGCCGACTGCGCCAGTTCGCACCAACTTTCCGTCTGAAGTTGCCTTTTTCTGCCTCCTTCTTTTCTTCTTTCGCTTGCTCCGTTCGCCCTTCCACTGCCTTTCTCCCCCTCCTTTGCCACCACCACAACTCTAATAGACGCGCACCCCCAACGACCTGCGCTGGCCGCGCGAGCTCGGGCCAGCCGCCCCCCGGATGCGCGGAGCCGCGGCGGCGGGCACGGTCAGCTCGGCGAGGCTCCGGGCTGGAGCGGAGGAGCTAGTGAGCAGCGGCGAGCGCCTCGCGGCCGGGAGCGGAGCGAGAGAGACACTGAACGCAGAATTCTGCCTGGGTACCACCTGCCAGGAGAAGAGGAGGCTGACAAACGCGCGCCGGAGCAATTTATAGGCACCCAAGGCACAGAGGAAGGGGAGCCGCTTTGGCATCTCACTGTAGCATCTGCTCTGCTCATCCCACTCAGAGAGAGTTTGGCATTACTCTGACAATGTGGGATTTTTTTTTCCCCCAGCCTCTCTTTTTTTTTTTTTCCCCCTCTGCACATGGATGAACAGTGAGATCGTGAATACTCCCTTGCTGAACCCAGGTGATGGCAGCGGTCTCGCTGGACATACCTGGGGGGAGGGAGACAGATGTGCAACAGCCTTGGGCACTCGAAGGTCACACCTAAGCCCTCTATTTCCCCAGGGCCGGCAGCGCCAGTTGGAGGGTGGAGGTGAAGGTTGAAAAGAGGGTGGCTCGGCCGACAGTATTTCTCTGCTGGCTCACCCACAATCAACCAGTGCTTCAGGTGTTTTTCGAAATGCCACTTTTAACATCAGAAGGGCCCTTTAGAATTTTCCAGATGGGTTTTTTTTTTAACCTTATGGTTTTCCTAGCCAGCCTTCTAAAATGAAGATGTTACCCAGAGAACAGTAAGGTGCGTTGAAAAGCCAAAGGACGTTTTGAATGATTATGAATGAACAGGCCCACCACATAATGGGGGGGGGAGTTCTTTTAACAAATGCTGCAGATGGTGAGTATATACTCCGTCCTCTACTTACAGGATTACTGTTCTAGCTATCTATCTTGAGTTAGTGCCATTGGACCCGAAGTTGCATTTACTTGCACTACATGAATGAGATATAATCACTTGTTAAAATGTCTTTAAAAGTCTTAAGACAAACCAAGCAGCCTTTACAAAAGTACTGGGGCAAGATCTTTTCCTAAGATATGCAAAGTGTCCTCTAGGCTTCACAGCACATTTCCCGCATGTACATTGAAGCATGGGGCAAAAAGGGAAAAAAAAAACCATGAGAAAGAAGAGCCCCATTTGCAGTGGGAGAGCAGGAGAAGGAGAAGCCTGGTTTGGTAATATTAATGTAAAAAACCCCAGAGT